CCTGTCCAATGTAGCATAAATATATTATTATATATACACATTTTATTCAAAGCTTTACAGGAAACCCTTCAGCCACTCACTGCTACATTCGTTCTGACTCATTAACAGGTTTGAATAGATAGCCCTGGTCCCTAGATGCAAAGAAGGAAGTGGAGAGATGTGAGACTCTCCCCCCTCCCCCCTCCACTCTCCTCCCAAATAGAACAAGGTAGTGTGAATGTAGAAGTGGGATCCAAAAGGGAAATTGAGAATAAACCACATTTGGTGTTATAGTTCGTATGGTTTCGCACTGCACAATACCCCAGCAGGAAACTCAATAATTATTAGTATTTTGGCTAACAAGGGGAACCGCTTTGCCAGCTGTTATAGAAATGTAGCACTTGTAACATAGCCGGCGTTTTATTACCTCTGCCACGGGAAAGTGGCATGGTTAGATGGCACGGAGCACTACTGAGCCACGGGAAAGGCTGCATCGCAGACAGAGGAATTTATTCACTAAAGACTTCAGAAAAACTACTGAAGTTAGGCGACTACAGTTGGCAACAGTAACATTTACGGCTACTCTATTGAAAGGACAGTTTGAGGAATTGGGTCACCTTGACGAATGCATAAATGATCAGTGGAGCATTTATTTATTTATTTAATTTTTTTTGTTTGTTTCTTTGTTTTCTTAATTTACATTTAAAGGGATGAATAAAGACTTTTAGCTAAGGAAACTGTAAAAAAAAAAATAGTTTCAGTCACGAGGAGACACACAGATCTCAATAATTAGGGTAAAACAAACCAAATCATACTCTGCTATTAACCAATCTTGGACTGTAGATTCTAGTGTGAACGTATTCAAAAACGTTTTCCCTTTGGATGCTAACTTGCTGTACAGTTACTACGGACAATGCATGATGCATACATCAGTTGGACATGGCACTACTAGCCCCTTAAAGGGACACTATAGTCACCAGAACAACTAGAAACATAGAATGTGACGGCAGATAAGAACCATTCGGCCCATCTAGTCTGCCCAATTTTCTAAATACTTTCATTAGTCCCTGGCCTTATCTTATATCTAGGATAGCCTTATGCCTATCCCACACATGCTTAAACTCCTTTACTGTGTTAACCTCTACCACTTCAGCTGGAAGGCTATTCCATGCATCCACTACCCTCTCAGTAAAGTAATACTTCCTGATATTATTTTTAACCCCTTCAGGACGGAGTCAATAGTGCACGTTCTGATCAAAACAAAATGTAAACAAAAACTGGAATTTGCGCTATATGTCTGTTCAACCGTACTTCACCGCTGTCACATTAAGTGCACCCACACTTATTATATATCATTTTGTTCAGGAGAAACAGGGCTTTAATATATCATTAACTATTCATATATGGAACATAATTTATTATGAATAAAATTTAAAAAAATTTGAGAAAATAAGATTTTTTTAAAAAAAATTTGTATTTCCGTCTGCCATTTTAGCTGTGAATGTCATAATACTGTTAGGTTTTACTGCAAAAAAATGCACATATTTGTAATCAGCGATGTCTCACGAGTACAACAGTACCCCCCATTAACAGTTTTTATGGTGTTTTGGAAAGTT